CTAAACCTTAACTAAAGTAGACCTGGAGAGGTTCACTAGCATTCAAACCCTCAAGAGACCGTTCAAACATCAGAAATTCATTGGCCAGAAGGCCCTATAAAGCAGGCTGGGGATCTGAAACTAACAGTCCAAATGCAAGCTGGTGATAGTCACACCCAAATACTGTTCTTATCTGGGAAATCAGATGCAAGATCTGCTTTAGTTCCTGGTAGAAAAAATTAACTCCAGTAGCCAGGTTGCGTGGCATATACTGATAGCACAGAGCTAACAGGTGCTCTTTAACAATGCCTACCAGAGCTACCTTTCCACAGAAAAGTCCAAAGGTTACAGACTGTGTCAATAATGATATACCAGGATCTTTGATAGAGAAACCACTTGCCCTGTGACTCTCAGGCTCTTTTCATTGTTACATTTGACTGGAAATAGTGAAGGGCTAGTTAGGTTTATCTGCTGCTCCTCGAGCACCATCTGCTGCCTATTCTGGGTAGTCCTGCATTTGTATCCAATGTCTTCCCTTTGGAGAATAGGGTGGGTCTTTAGCATCCAGTCTGAAGAAGATTATTAATTGTATTATCATAGTGCCTTGAAGCCCCAGTCATGGACCGTGAACCCATTGTGCTAAGCTGTAGCCTTCAAAATGATTTAAAAACAACAACATCTTTTCCCCCTTTTCTACTGCAAGGTCTATTTCCGTCCATTCCATTACCAGCGGGGGCAGAGGTTTGGCATAGCCGTGACTTCTGCAGCATGAGCAAGACAGGAAGCTCTTAAAAGAAAAGCCCCATCCTTATTTGAAGAGGCTGCTCCCTGGCAATTCAGGCTGCCTTAGGCCAGAGCCTGCATAGGGGCGGGGTGTGTGTGTGTGTGTGTGAAATGACTGTGATGTGCTGGACCAATCTGCAAATCAAATTATTGACCCCGTGGAGTCTGCACTGGGAGTCTCCATTATGACAGTGAGATGGTGCTCAGTCTAACGAAGAGTGCTTCTGCAGAGGGCTCGTCCCCACTACAGACACAGCGCCTTGTTGTTTCTGCTCGACACCAGGCACACACAGTAAAATGACAGAGAGGCGCCTCAATGAGTGACAGGAGATCCATAAAACCCTCTGTTGTGCTGAGCCCTCCCCTGAGCTGACATCTCAAAGGGCGTGAAAAGCGGGAAGCAAGTCGGTGTGACTAGCTGGGTAGCTGGGATGTTACAATTCTTGTTGAAAGGACGCCCAGAAGGGAGACAAAGAAATTATGTGACGCAAAGGGAGTTTGAACTAAAAGATCCACTGACTACAGGGCTCAGGCAGCTCGTGAGGCTACCCAAGCTAACGGGCAAATCGTTGCAAGATGAGGGAAAGTTTGTACGTGGACCATCAAAAATGTGCTTTGATTGGGTCATTTAGATGAGACCAGCTTCCTAACCCTGCTGTGCACTTCTGGGGAGTGCTGGGCAATGCACATAGCTCAGTGGGGCAGCGGCATCAGTCTCACAGGGGCCGTTCTCTTCACTGTGGTCATCACTACGGCCACCCATGCTGGGACCTGGGGCTTTACCTGTTGCCTTTCTTGCTGACCCTGAAATGGATATTATGATTGGTTCAGACAAAAAGGCAAGCAATGACATCACCAGTGCCATGGTGATGCCCTGTATGAAGGTTCTTGTCACCCCCTCCCAGCATGAGAGTTTGCACCCTCTGTCTTATTCCTTCTTCCGACATCTTGTCTTTTTGCCAGCACAGCTCTAACCTTGCAAGGCTTTGGGGCCAGTTCTCCAAGCAAAAAGCTGTCCTGGGCAGCCCAACCTCAGTGAAAAAGATTGGTCTCCCCCAGATTGGCCAGAGGAAATTAAATGTAGATCAGCCAGACACTTCTCAGAGCGGAGGAGTAAAGCCAGATCCCGGGGTGTCGGACGGAGTCTTGGGGCATGTACTTTGTTTGTAGCTTTCCAGCAACTGAACTGCCACCCAGGCAGGAGACAAAGCAGCATTTACTGCACTTCTTTTATCCCTCCCCTGTTGTTAATTCTATGTACTGCACCCCAGGACCCCATTGTTGTGCTAGGCACTGTACAAACACAGAACAAAAGGACAGCCCCGGCTTCAAAGGGTATGTCTACATAGCAATTAAACACCCGCAGCTGGCCCTGGTCAAGACATTAGGGCTCACTTGAGCTCTGGGATCCCATGAGGGGGTGGGGATGGTCCCAGAGCCTGGGCTCCGGCCTGAGCCCAAAGTCTACAGAGCAATTTTTAGTCCCACAGCCCAAGCCCCAGTGTAGACGTACCCCAAAAGCTTACGCTCTCCGTAACTGTGTGTGTTTATCCTGTTTTGAGAGGAGATACCACGAGAGTTTAACATCAGGGCCTGAGAGCTAACACCTCAAAATGATACTTCCTCACCAAGGATAATTGACAGCCTCTGAGAAACTGTCAAGCAACAGTTATTCTCTTTGAAAAACTTCAGACTCTAAAGTTTAGAGGCATACGCTTGGGCCTATGTGTGCATGCAGGCCTGTACACACGCACATATAGTGAAGAGGGAATTACACACAGTGATACACAGATTAATTTGATCATTTTTATGTAAAATGTTTAATGTATTTTTTTTTCTTTTAAAGCATTTAATAAAAGTTTGCATTGTCCCGTATGCAGCAAGACAAACCGCCTCCCTGGCAACAACACCCTGAACCCACATCCCGATTCATGTGGAGCTGGAAGAGTAGTAAATGGGTAACCGGAAAGAATGCCCTCACAAGTCTAACTGATCTTCCCAAAACACCAGGGGAGGAATGTACTTCTCTAATGCAAGAGGGACCTTTTATTGCTGCACTATGACAGGTTTGCATAGCAAATAGAAAAGGAGACTATCTGAAGTACAAAGCAATATCTGAGATTTTTATCCCATACCCTTTTTCTTGCACAGCCACTGATTTTTTCCCCCAAAATATCCATGCCTATGCTATCGTGTTAATTACCAATATTAGTTGTCTGGTCTGGAGTAATAGCTCTTTGTGACTGGTGTAACTTCATTGACTTTAATGGAGTGGCAGCTACTTAGTTACATTGCCAATTTTTAGACCAACCTGTCAGTATTTTATTGGAAACAATAATATTAAAGAACAGCCTGACAGCAATAATGCAGAAGATGTCGCTTTAAAGCACACCATCACAGGGTGTTAGGGGATGAGGTTCTTTGGCCTGTGTTCCGCCAGAGGTCCCTTCTGATGTTAAAATCTGTGGCTCTATCTCCATGCCTTGAGCCACAGGTATTGGAATAGACTCACATAACAGCCTAAACTCCTTAAAAGAAACAATACATATTTTGTGTAACAAAAGCCATGTTATTGTGAGATTGCAAAGGCTTTGATTTTTTTTTTAAGTAAGCAAAAATCATCATCACCCTCGAAACCGTTAATCTAATCAGCGCAAAAAGACAGGGCGAAAGAATTGGCATGTCCTACAAGCTGCACAGCAAAACTGAACTGGGAAAGAGAACACATGGAAGTATGATCACAACGCTATAGGAGGTCCTTATTCAAAGCCCCTTGACATTAATGGAAAGGCGCCCATTGAGTTCAACAAATTTATTTGAGCATAAGCTTTCGTGAGCTACAGCTCACTTCATCGGATGCATTCAGTGGAAAATACCTGGTGCATTGGCATCTGATGAAGTGAGCTGTAGCTCACGAAAGCTTATGCTCAAATAAATTGGTTAGTCTCTAAGGTGCCACAAGTCCTCTTTTTCTTTTTGCGAATACAGACTAACACAGCTGCTACTCTGAAACCTGTCATTGAGTTCAATGGCTATTGGCTCTGGTCCTTAAAGCAAAGTGAGGACTTCCCAAACAGTGCCCATCCAGCCCTTGGATTAGCTGTTCTCTTTCAGATTTCATTTTCTTCCCACTGTATTCCCTTACACATTCCATCCATCTGTAACCTTTACATGAACAGTCAATTCTTTCTTAGTTCCTGGCAGTGTGGGGGCTGAGCCTGCTGCCAGAGAACAGGCAAGCTGATGATTCAAGCTTTGCTCACATGGTACATGGTCTTAATTGTGCTTTGTGACTGCGAGTGCTCTAGATCAGCGTTTTTCAAACTTTGGGTCGCGGCATGTCAGGCACCAGGTCGCTCTGGTCAGCACTGCTGACCAGGACGCTAAAAGTCCCATTGGTGGAGCTGCCCAGCTGAGGCAGGCTAAACCTGTTTCGACACCGCGCTGTGCTCTGGAAGCAGCCAGCAGCGGGTCCAGCTTCTAGACGGGGGGGCCACGGGGCTCTGCACGCTGCCCCTGCCCTGAGCACCAGCTCCGCACTCCCATTGGCTGGGAACCAGCCAAAGGGAACGGCGGTGCCTGGAGGCGAGAGTCACGTGAAGCCACTTGCGCACCTCCACCTAGGAGCTGGACCTTCTGCTGGCCACTTCCGCGGCGCAGCGCGGTCCACGGTGCCAGGACAGGCGGGAAGCCTGCCTTTGCACCCCAGCTGCGCTGCTGACCGGGAGCCGCCTCAGGCAAGTCCGCACCCCAACCCTGCACCCCAATCCCCTGCCCCAGTCCTGAGCCCCCCCAAACCTGGAACCACTTCCTGTACCCCAAAGCTCTCATCCCCAGCCCCACCCCAGAGCCTGCACCCCCAGCCCACAGCCCCCTCCCACACCCTGAACCCCTCATCCCCAGCCACACCCCACAGCCCTCATCCCTGTACCTCTGCCCCAGCCCTGAGCCCCTCCCACGCCCCAAACCCCTCATCCCCAACTCCGTTGGGTTGCGGGCATCAACAATTTTCTTCAACTGGGTCCCCAGGTCCCCAGAAAAAAAAAGTTTGAAAGCCACTGCTCTAGATCTTTGCTGTCAAATAGCTCAGAAGAAAATACAGCCTGCACCTCCTGCCCCCAAGGTAAGGAAATACACAATGAACTGGTTTCAGAGTAGCAGCCATGTTAGTCTGTATCCGCAAAAAGAAAAGGAGGACTTGTGGCACCTTAGAGACTAACAAATTTATTTGAGCATAATGCGCCAATAAATTTGTTAGTCTCTAAGGTGCCACAAGTCCTCCTTTTCTTTTTACACACAATGAACAGGCCCTGCTTTAAGCAGCCCTGTTGAGTATTCCCTGGACCACACTGATTAGCTCATTGAATTCACTGCTCTGAAAATGGCCCCTGTCTGTGAACTTGTAAAGCTCTGCGTTGAGCTCATTGGCCACTGCCTGCTGCTCACTCCAGGGAAGAAAAGGATCATCTGTGGAAGCAAACTGCACAATGCGATTGCAGTTAGCCTTGATCTTCTCCCATTGCCAAGGTCGGTTAAAGTATCCTGAAGGGCACAAAAACAATCATTATGGAACTGAATCTAACCTCTCTGTGGTATCTTCAATGTCCTGTTTACTTCCTTGTAAATTTCCAATGCAAATAAATTTCTTCTTGGGACCAGATGCAAACTGGGAGCAGTCACGGATTTAAAAGATTTCTGACTGCCCAGTGTCAAGCAATCAGTCTCCGGTTTGTGGATAAGCAGGCATATGTGAAAGGACAGGACTCTCCTTTCAAATTATTAGGAAATGTCATGCTAGTAATTTTATTGGTTCAAGAGAATGCCACACGTAGATCAGATGAGATCAACTTACCGCTCTCTCTTTCATTCTCATCTCCCAAGTCGGAAACGTAAGCAGACACTAAAATAACTGCATACACCTTGTGAGTTTCTGCAAACCTGAGAAAAAAAGGAACCAGGTGACTAAGCCGGCTGTACATCATTCTCGTACACAATACATAGTTCCTGTCATTTTAAGCAGTTTGCACCTTTGGGAGATGGTTTTTACCTTCTAATCTATCATTTAAGAACATGAAAAAAATCTAGATTGTTTTTACATTTAAAGGAGAACGAGAAGCAGGGAACAGCAGAAGTCAAGACAGAGTAACTGACTGAATCTGACAGCAGGGCTCTACAATGTCCTTTCTGCAAAGATGGGGTGAAGTTCATGTAAAAGATTTGGACAGGTTACAGCTACAGGCAAGTCACCCAAGGATTTTCAGATGGATCATGTAATGCTATAGCACCCAAACTATTACATTCGATTGAGGTGGGGGTGTTTTATCGTGGCATTCCGTCCCCATTGTTACACATCCAGTTCTTCAATGGCAGATCAGAGGCCCAATACAGAGCCAATCCTGAATCCCTTATGCATGGTTCTAATCCCATTAAAAGCATTCTACTCACACTGATGTCAGGGGGTATTTTTGCCATTGATCTCAAGTCAAGCAGAACTGGGATCATTAGCTTAAATTGGCCTGATCACATTAGAGTGTGAAACATGAAGCTCTGTGCAATGTCCCCTGTACTGTACCTCATGGCAGCAGCCGCACCAGAACTGTGTCCAATAATGATAGTCTGCTCATCGCAATGGAGTTCTGATTCCATGAATGGCAGCCAGATTCTCTCTCGAGCTGTAACTGATTTTTAGAGAAGCGATTCAATTGCTTTGTGCTTCCTTATCTGGCAAAGAATGAACTCTTCCCCTCCTCCCCACCCCGGCTGGCATGCTCTATGTGCATCTCTTTCAGGGATTTTCTCTCTGTTTAATTCTCCGTGTACTTATTGCTTGGGAAAGGGGTTAGGTTAGCAGCCCTGGAAACCAAAGGCCTCTGTTTATCCCTACTATGCATCAAGTGTACACTGCAGCTGTGCAAATTCCAACCATGCTACCCCACCAAAAAGCACTTCCACATGGAGCTGGAGGTGCCAGGTGTAAGGGTCAGTGTGTAGTTTAACCTTCACGGCTCAGTCTTTGGCCTCTTGGCTGAGATTGCCAACAAAGACACCAGTCCTGATGGTGGTGGTGGTGTTGTGGACACCGGGGTCTGCTGGAAACTGGGCTGAGACAGAGACTATTTGTCTAGAACTACTGGCAGAAAGAGCGATCTGGAATGTCAGCCTTCATGAACACTTCCCCACCGAGCTCCCCAGTTTGCTCCAGCTCATCCAGGGCCCCGTGGAATCTCTGGGGCTTGCAGGTCTTAGTCAAGCATGTATTGTCTGTGCACGAGCAATGTTTTGCATCACAGTATGTGCACGTAACATTCAGATGAGCATCCCAAGCCCTCTCCCGATTAAAGCATGTGAGCAGGCTATGCACTATGGATCTCCTTGTGGGCTGGGGGTGCACCAACTCCCCAAGCATGAAGACAGCCACTGAGATAGTGCAGGCTCATATTCATTTTCTGGAAATATTGAGCATGGGATAAGGCAAAATAAGGGGACAAGAAAAAACAGACTTACTTGGGTCAGGCATATTTCGAAGTATACACTGGAAACCAGGTATCTGTGTGGAGAATACCAATGATTGCACTGTCAAAGGTTGTCTCTTAGCAAGCAAAGTTAGACAACTACTGGATTGCTCACTTTCCTCCAGAGGGTCTTCAAAGACGGGCCTTGCTACAGTGTGTCAGGTTGAAAGGTTGAACGCTTGAGGTGGACTGGGGAACACGGAGAAGAGTGAGTAGCTAGTATTTACCTAGTCCTTTGAAAACGTAAAGCACTGTACACACTGCAAATTATTATACCCTGGGTGGAGGGAGATTGCTGATTTTACAAATACTCCTCATTTGAATTACCAGCAATCTCTCTCAAACATACCTTTTGGGGTTCTCCCTTGGGGGACCAATCACTGCACTCTTGTGCTTGCATCTCACTAAGAGCGATCCCTTATTTCTGTGCTAACTTTCTCCTCCATATGCTGTCAAGTGGCTGAACGTCATAACAGAAATACCTGAGTGGAATTACAGGGAACCAGGTGAGAGTCCCGAGAGGAGCAATAAAGCATCATATACTGCATCCTTCATGCATCATTCAAATCAGTGTGCTGGATCTTCCCCCAAAAGGGAGGTCTGAACAAGCCTGAGGGGAGGGGGGGATGTTATATGACAAAGACAAGAATCACAGAGAAAGTCACTTACTTCTAATGCTGAACAAGGAACTTTATTAGAGTAAGAAAAACTATATGATCTCTCTCTCTCGCTCTCTGATTCACTACAGAAGTTCTGCCTAGACCAGAGATTCTCAAACTGTGGTCCGCGGACCAAGCTCCATTCAGGTGGTCCGCGGACAGTTCCCTCTAAGGTGCACACCTGGGCAGCCAAACATGAGAGAATGAAGGGCCACCCACCTATTTAGTGGAGCTGCACAGGCAGGGGGTAGGTGGGAGGGGGCAGTAGGGTGAGAAGGCAGCTGGGGGGAATTTGGAACGTGCAGGGCTATGGCTGCCAGGGAGAAACACCCCCACTCCTTCCCAGCCCCAGCTTGGGGGGCTGTCCTGGTGCGCGAGAGAGGGCACATCCATTGCATTAGAAAGGTAAGACTGCTGATATTAAAATATGAGTTGTGTGCTTTTATTTGTAGAACAAACAACGTTTATTATTATTATTAAGGTTTTTTATATATAGCACTTTTATGCAAAGCGCATTACAATAGTTAGCTAACAGTACAAACAATATTTGGAAAGATCATTAAGTGGTCTGCTGAGACCCTCAGCAATTTTCAAGTGGTCGGCGAAAAAAAAAAAGTTTGAGAACCACTGGCCTAGACCCTTCCCCAGTCCCCCTCCTGCTTGCCAGCTATGGATTTAAAGAAAGGGAACATAGATGCTAAACCTCATAAAAGGGAAGCAGAGACTGGGGCACACAGCTTGACGAGGAAAAGAAGCCAGGTGCCTGATCCAGGGTGTTCCAAACACCTGGTGGGGAGAAGAGTAAATAAATGCAGTCAGATCAAACCTCGTGTCATCACCACGTCTCACCTCCTCTAGTCTTTCCCACACCCATCTGTACCAGTTGGCTTGCTCGATATCGCCTGACCCGTTCCCAGGTACGATAACAGCTTTAGTGGCAGGAAGCTTCTGCCGCACCTGGAACATGCTGCTGCCGCACTGCAGCAGGAGGAGCAGATGCTTTTGCTGATACAGACTAACAGGGCAATCACTCTGAAGCCAAGAAGAGGGGATCCTGGGATGGCTGGGAAATGGAGGCAGAAAGGAGGCATCTTGGGAGTTGAAGTTTTCTCGGTAGAAAATTATTCACAGTGTGGTCCTTGCTGTCATTTGTCGCTCTCTGAAATAAGCTAATTTAGAAACTCCAAAGCACAAGTTAATGAGACAAAAGCAACACGTCAAAGACTTGAAAATCACAATGGGAGCTAGCGCCTTACCTGCTACTTGTCAATTTTGTTTGCAGTGTTGTAGTCATGTTGGTCCCAACTCCCAGGATATTAGAGAGACAAGGCGGGTGACGTAACACCTCTTACTGGACCAACTTCTGCTGGCAAGAGAGACAAACTTTCAAGCTACACAGAGTTCTTCTTCTTGTTAATTTTGTTATTTCCATCTTTTTTTTGGATGTTTGTACAGTGTCTAGCACAATGGGGCCCGTCCTGGTCCACAATTGGGGGTCTGCAGACAAATAAATTGGTTAGTCTCTAAGGTGCCACAAGTACTCCTTTTCTTTTTGCCACTTGATTTAAGGGGATTATGGGACATGGGATTATGGGATTCCAGAGGCTGATCAGAGCACAGTAAAGCAACACCTCGTTCACACTGGCGTTGCGGGGCGAGGGCGCAGCAAACATTATTCCACTCGCCGAGGTGGAGTACCAGCAGCCCTGTAGCCGCGGAGTCAGAGTGCTCTGTGTGCCTTGCCAGTGTGGATGGGTATTGAACTAGTGTGCCTAGGGCTCCTTTATTGCACTGTAACTCGCAAGTGTAGCCAAGCCCTTAGTATAGACTGGTCATGGAGAGTGTCACGCTGTCTGGAATGGCTCACGACTGAGAGTGCTAACCTCGGAGCAGACTGTCAAAAGCAGGGCAGATACCCCAAGCTGGTGGTATGTTCTATAATTAGATTTCACCAACCCAGTAACAAATATGAACTAAATCACGGTAACAGTCTTACCATGGAATTCAAGACAGTCCCCTTGGGCTCTCCAGACTTTCATGCCACCCAGGCAAGCTGAACTTAGTGATAAATGGTCACTTGCACCAAAAATCACAAAATATTCAGGTTGCTTCTAGTCGCAAGAGACCAGTCACTTACCCCAGATCAATTTGTACCTTAGATCTCTCACCAAAGACAATGCCTGTAACCAATCCTGTAACAAACTAACCAAAGGTTTATTAACTGGGAAAAAGAAATGAGTCATTCATAGATTAAAGCAAGCAAGCACATACACAGATGAATTTCAGTCTGGGATTCAAAAGGTGACAGAGCTATAGCAATCTGTTAGCATGCCACTGAATGTCTTTTTAGGGCTTAACCCAGGTCGACCCTGGGGATCTCTGCTTTTTGTTTCTTAGCTCCAGCCCTTGTGAGAGATGAAAAAAATCCATGTCCATTATTTTTATATCCCTCTTCCAGCATCCAAACGGATGGGATGAGGACTTCTGCACTACTTCTCCATCCGTGGGTAGGGCAATTAACAAAGCTTTTGTCCTATGATGGCCCACTTAATTTTTGATAGTCCTGCTGGGTGGGCGTGGGTGTGTGTGGGGGAGAGACTGAGTTCACAAGTCAGGCATTTTTATAATTATAAAACAAATTTATATTTTACCTTGTAGGAAGGAATACAGACAAGTGAGGTTAATGCATGCAGAAATTTACAAGCATTTAATAGAGTCTAAACAGTAAATACATTCTTATGAGACTAATACCTATTTTGAACACAACTAACACAGGTGAGCTGGCTAGGTTTCCAGCTATGAGTTTTGTCAGTTCTTAGCTAATGCATATGACCTTGGCAAGAGCTGGCACCTGGTTTACCAGCACTACAGAGGGCCTTAGCCCTTTGTATACAAACAGTACTGGGATTATTTAGTGGTCACATAGTCCATTAAATAGTATCTCTAAAAGAGTGAAAAATCCCCCTCCTACATCAGGTCTTGAGTCTCCAAAACTGGGTTCAGTCCCTTATACCAGTTGTGAGCTTGGCCCTCAGTCTTCCTGCAGATACCCACCGTCACTGCGTGTGTTTTGTTAAACATGACTTCTCCGTTGTTTTATAGCCATCTCTATAGCATCAATTGAGATGGTGTCAGAATACCTATTCCACCCCACAGGTTTCCCATTTGTCTTGGTGTTTGTGCTGACTTTGTCTGGGCCACCCCACATTGCCTGGATCCTCTGTTCAGTGTCAGGGCCTGGGGCAATTTGTGGGGTGACATTTTGTTGCCACGTAAGGATGCTTTGGTACAAGATGGGGACACACGTTTTGACGTGAGAAAGGGGCCTTTGAATGCGCGGCTTGTTTAACGCGACAGGGCCAAGGGCGAAGGAGGCTTTTAAGCGGCACGGGGCGGCGAGGCTTTGATGTGACTGTTGGGTGTCACTGCACTCGGCGTCGGGGTGATGTTTGTGCCAGGAGGCGGGCACCCTCGGGGCTGGCACGGCGGGGTGGCGAGGTGAGCACGTTTGCCGTGTGGTCTCCACCTCAGGGGGGCGAAGGGAGAGGCGGCTTGGTGAGGGAACCTCAGGGGAGCCGCACCCATGCCCAGGGCACAGAGAGCTGGCTGGCTGGGGGATGCCCACATCACCAGGACTCACAGCTGCCCTCCCCGCTTCCACCCCCATCCGCCAGCGCCCACTGGAAGGGCGAGTCAGCGCTAACCCTGCAAGGCCCCGCCCACGACCGGGAGCCTCATGGAGCCGCCCGCCATACTGGATGCGGGCGGAAGCCCGTAACGAGGCGCGGGTGCCCTCCGCTGAGACGGCGACAGCAGCCGCGCAATGGTGCCGCCATCTTGGGCAAGGGCAATGTAGCCGGAGAGGCGCCCGCGCCGCCATCTCGCTGTCGGGCAGCCCCGCCGCTGAGCTGGCCTTTCGGGCGCGGGCGCTGCCGGGACACGGATCGTCGGGCGCTGCGAAGCGGAGCCGGCAGAGCGACAGCACCGCGGGCAGGTGGGTGTTCGGGGGCGGCGGGAGGGCAGGTCTCGGCAGGGCCCCCCGGTGCTGAGGCTGGGGAGGGGGGGGGTCCGCCAGGGCGGGAGGGTTCCCCGGGTGGGGGGAGGGGGCGACGGCTCCCCCCGGGCCAGTGGGGAAGGTGCCAGGGGAGGGGGACCCCTGGGTCAGGGGAGGGGTGGGGTGAAGGGGGTCCCCCGGGTCAGGGGAGGGGTGGGGGGTGGGGCGAAGGGGGTCCCCCGGGTCAGGGGAGGGGGTTCCTTTCCAGTGGGGGATGGGGTGCGAAGGTCTCCCAGTGGGGGAAAGGGTGCGGGGGTCCTGTGGGTCAGGGGAGGGGATTCCCCCAGTGGGGGATGGGGTGTGGGGGCGAGGAAGGTCCCCTGGGTCAGGGGAGGAGGTCCCCCAAGTGGGCGATGGGGCAAGAGAGTCTCGTGGGTCAGGGGAGGGAGTCCTGCCAGTCGGTGGATGGGGTGAAGGGGTCCCCCAGTGGGGGGTGGGGTCAGTTTCCCCAGGCCACTGTAGGAGGGGAAAGGGCCCCACTGTTGCTTTTGGGGCCGCCTCCTCTACGATTTGGGACTTGAGTAGGGCTGCTCGACCTGTCCAGGTTCCCCAGTATTGTCCCGTTTCTGAGGTCACTGCCCCGGGAATCTGTCGGGGTGTTCGGTGCTCGCTGCCCAGCTTGATGTGCTCAGGATCATCCTGAATATTGTGCGGGTTTTGTACTTTGGAGGTGGCAACCCTAGGGCTCAGAGAACAGGGGGAGGATCCCCTGGGCCTCTGTTGTGGGCAGTGAAGGAGGGACAAGGACCCCCACATCACTGATTCCCCCACTCTATGTGGAGGTTGGTGTGAGGCCACTGTGTTGCTGTTGGAGTGGGATGGTGGAGTCTCCCCCAGTATGGGGTTGGCAGGAGTGGCCCTGCCTCATTATTGCATTTTCTGTGTAATTTTTGGTAAACCTTTACTCTCTTTCACAGAGGAAACAGCTAAAATTTCTCCTTTTTTAAAAATGTTGCCCTGATCTCCTCACTCTCTAACTAACACCCGCAGTTCAACAAACTTCACAAAGACCTTCTGAGAACATCTTGGATACAAGCCCCATTTAAAACTAAAGAGGCAAGAGGTTCCTCTATTAACCCAGGATTAGCTAACTTCTTTACGTCAGGATTAGTCAATTCCGTCAGCTCCTGTTTTGTGATGCTGTCAGCCTGCCTATCTGACTCACAGGCTCTGCTCAGCACAGGGACCCTGGTGAGGGTGTCATGATGTTTAGATGCAGCTGAGTGGCTCACGGGAGAGAGCTCTGAACCCTGGGGATGGGGTTGTGTGTGGAGCACTTAGAGGAAGTAGTACTGTGTAGAGGGTTTGAGGATTCCTCCTCACATCCTCAACCGTAAGACCGATGCAAAGAATTTATTTAGTTTCTCCGCAATTGCCTTATCATCCTTGAATGCTCCTTTAGCATCTCGATCGTCCAGTGGCCCCACTGTTTGTTTAGCAGGCTTCCTGCTTCTGATTTACTTCCTTTTTTTTTTTTTTTGCTATTATTTTTTGAGTCTTTGGCTAGCTGTTCTTCAAAATTTTTTGGCCTTCCTAATTATATTTGTACACTTCATTAGCTAGAGTTTACGCTCCTTTCTATTTTCCTCATTAAAATTTAACTTCCACTTTTTAAGGATGCCTTTTTGCCTCTCACTGCTTCTTTTACTTTGTTGTTTAGCCATGGTGGCTCTTTTTTTGGTTCTCTTACTATGTTTTTAATTTGGGGCATACATTTAAGTTGAGCCTCTATTATGGTGTCTTTAAAAAGTTTCCATGCGGCTTGCAGGGATTTTACTTTTGGTACTGTACCTTTTAATTTCTGGGTAACTAACCTTATTTTTGTGTAGTTCCCCTTTCTGAAATTAAATGCTACAGTGTTGGCCGTTGACCATTAACATGCATATGGATCCTAACAGGGACTGATATGGTCTTGCTTTTGAGCGGGTCTGTAT